AGGTTCAAGCTGAGTATAGCACTCAGTGGGAGAGTGCTTTCCTGGCATGCCCGAGGCCCTGGCTCCATCTCAGTACTGAACACATAGAAATGAAAAAGAACAGGTTCAAATACAGTATTGGGCTGGGATATAGCACTCAGCTGAGGTCCTGGGTTCTACATACGACACTGCCAGGAAGGGAGGAGAGAAAGGGGAGAGGGAGGGGGAGGGAAGGAGGGAAAAAAATAGAAAAACAGACTAAAAGGGAGAAGAGGGCAAGAAGAGTGGGGAAGAGGTCCCTTGCCTCCTGCTCACATGGAGTGGACATGGTGCTGTGTTTGGGGCACTTTGCCCTCCTTACATAAGTGAGCTCTGAGGATATGGAACCTCGATGGCCTTTGCCTTCAGCAAATAACTGAACTCTGGTACTCATTTCCAGAACCCCCAGGGACTGTTCGTGCTGGTGCCCTGTGAACTCTCGTGATTGTTAGCCAACAACGCCTGTGTTTGAGCAACCTTGCTGAGAAGAAAGAAAATGGCTTGTATTGAGTTTTCTTTTCATGTGCCAAGTCTGGAGGAGCTTGCTGAAGGTAAAAATGATATTAGCCTTGGGATTTTTTTTTTTTTTTTTTGGTTTTTCGAGACAGGGTTTCTCTGTGTAGCTTTTGCGCCTTTCTGGATCTCGCTCTGTAGACCAGGCTGGCCTCGAACTCACAGAGATCCGCCTGCCTCTACCTCCCGAGTGCTGGGATTAAAGGCGTGCGCCACCACCGCCCGGCTAGCCTTGGGATTTTAAGGACTGTCCCAGGAAACAAAACCAAAAGATCCCTGAGATACATATGTAATTACCTATCTGTATCTTATTGAAATGGTACTTTTGATACAGGAATTTCAGTATTATTTTTAAATTTAAAAAATCCAAAATTCTATCTCTCAAAAAATAAAAGAAAGCAACTTTTATAAGTTTTTATGCTTATGTTATAAGCATTTACACTTATTAGCCCATCTTATGGAAGTTGTTTAATTTCAAGATCCTTAGCATCACGTAAAAACTGCACATAATACCTTAAAAGCTGGTCCTCTCTACATACTGACACGTATGCAGAGTTTTAAATTTTTTGAAAGATGATTATAGATAAATTCAAAATTCCTTTTGTTCCCAACCCTCGCGGTGGTTCCTTCTCTGCTTATTTGTCCTAGAAGTAACCATCATCTCTCATTTATAGTGGTCTTGTTGTGCAATGAAAACTAGCAGAGAGTTGTGCAATATTAACAATAACAGTATTCTTTAAATATATAGTTTGCTGGAGAGATGGGTCAGTGGTTAAGAGCACTGGCTGAACTCCGGTGACCCGAGTTCTCTCCCAGAACTCCCATAGCAGCTCACAATTGTCTGTAATTGTCAGTTCTAGGGAATTCAGTGCCCTCTGCTGGCCTTCAGCTCCAGACGGTGCACAGACATACATGCAGGCAAAACACTCATACATTACAAATAAATAAACAGATAGATAGATAGATAGATAGATAGATAGATAGATAGATAGATAGATAGATAATCTACTATTGAGTATTGCTCATAGTCCCAAATATACTTTGCCTGCCTCCTCATTCACAGATTGTCAATTCACTTACTTAAATTTGTCTGTGGATATTTCTTGTGTTTTGTTTACCTTGTTCAAACAAGAATTTAAGGAAGTTCCCCCAATCTAAACCAGAGAAGGAAAAAGATGATTGAATACACAAAATGAAGCCCAAAAGGTATACATTCAAACCTTTGATGTCTCAGGATCTGCCCTGTCCTTGATGTGGTTAGTTTCTGTTCTGTGGAACTCCTGTCTCCGTAACGGTCCCGTACTTCTCACAGTGTGCTACCTGGTAGTTAACTGTTCTTGAGGAGACTGACTCAAACATGTACCTGCTTTTTCCTTTTTTTTTTTTTTTTTTTTTAGTTGCTTTCCTATACTATCTTTCTGATCCTTAAAAATATATTGCTTGTAGGGCTGATGAAATGGCCCAGTGGGTAAAGATACTTGTAGCACAAGTATGACAACCTGACTTCCATCCCTGGGACCAACCTAGTGGAAGAAGAGAACCAACCACGAGTTGTCACCTAATCTCTACATGCACCTTAGCACGCATGCGTGTGCATGTTCTATAAATCAACAAAATACATATATTCTGTTAAATTGAGCTGCACTGTAGCAGTCTCCCTAGCCTTGGAAGAGCCTGTTCTTGCTGGCAAAGCTGTAGTTGTTTTTTTTTTACTCTTTTGGCTCTTTGCTCTTTTGGGGGGCCTGCCACCCAGCTCCCAAATGAATACACATGGAATCTTATTTTTACTTATGAGTGCCCGGCCTTATCATGGTTTACTTCTGGCCAGCTTTTCTTAAATTATCCTGTCTACCCTTTGCCTCTGTGCTTTTACCTTTTTCTATTTCTGTATATCTTTTCTCTCCTTCTTACTCTGTGTCTGGCTGTGTGGCTGGGTGGCTGGCCCCTTCTTTTCTCACTCCTTCATCCCACTTGCTCCTAGATCTTCTTTCTGTTTATTCTTTCTGCCTGCCAGCCCCGCCTATCCTTTCTCCTGCACTGCTATTGGCTGTTCAGCTCTTTATTAGACAATCAGGTGTTTTAGACAGGCAAAGTAACACAGCTTCACAGAGTTTAACAAATGCAACATGAAAGAATGCAACACATCTTTGCATCATTAAAACAAATGTTCCACAGCGTAACAAATGTAACACATCTTAAAATAATATTCCAAAGCCAGGCAGTGGTGGCACATGCCTTTAACCCCAGCACTTGGGAGGCAGAGGCAGGCGATCTCTATGAGTTCGAGGCCAGCCTGGGCTACAGAGTGAGTTCCAGGAAAGGCACCAAAGCTACACAGAGAAACCCTGTCTCAAAAAAACAAAATAATAATAATAATAATAATAATATTCCATAACACAAAGCTGTCACTCACTTAATTGGTATCAGATTCTGATTTTCACAAGTATCATTCTTCTCTGGTAAGGAGCTATGGGATACTCCATACTCCAGGTTATTGGACATACTTTTATAAATTATTATTAAAATTCTCTTGAACAGAGTCAGGAAGATCTCTAAGTTTGAGGCCAGCCTAGTCTATGTATTAAGTTCCAGGACAGCCAGGGCTACATAGTGAGACCTCTGTTTCAAAAAACCAAGTAAAATAAAATAAAGTTATTGAAGAATAAAGTTCTGGAATGTTAAGACACTATGTTTTTCTACATTTGTATTATGGCATAATGCACCTTCAATAAAGTATAGTGCTTGCAGAATGTGAGCACCACACTTATGTGTGATGGTTTGAACAAGTATGGCCCCATAGATGTGTTTGAATGCTTGGCCTTGCTGTAGGAAGTGTGTCAGTATTGGGGTGGGCTTTGAGGTCTCAGAAGCTCAAGCCAGTTCTCTGCCTGGTGCCTGCATATTCATATGTAGAACTCTCAGCTCCTTCTCCAGCACCATGTCTGCCTGCATGCTGCCATGCTTCCTGCCATGATGATAATGGACTAAACTTCTGAACTGTAAGCCAGCCCCAATTAAATATTTTCCTTTATGAGAGTTGCCGTGATCTTGATGTCTCTGCACAGAAATAAAACCCTAACTACATAACTACCATTCAAGTCAAAATATATATTCAGCTTTATATCCATGTAGGGAGGCGAATGTTGTTCTAAGACTCTGTCTTTTTATTTTACCAATAAAGACTCAGGAGCCAGATGCTGAAGTGAAAATCTGCTAGCTCAGAGAGGCAAAGAAAGCAGCCGATTGACCCTCGTCCTTTGCCGTCTTCTTAGAAAGAGATTTTTCTCCTACTCTGTCTGAAACAAGAACTCCTCCAACCAGTTGTCCCTCCCTTCTACTTCTTGTGCCTCTCTCTGTCTGACCTCCTGACTTCCCTTCACTCTCTATGATTACTTCCCGTCAACTGGTTGCTTGCTCCACCTCTTGACCTATGGTTAATTTTATTTAAATAACGCAATCTCAGGGTTCACAGTGTGATCAAATATACAGCAACACTTGTCTGTAACCTCCACTAAACATGTGGCTTGAAATCCCTTTCATTGGGTTTTTGAAATCCCCTCAAGGGAAGCTAGCCCTTACTTGTGTGCCATCTGCTTCCTTTCTGCACGTCTTAGTCACTGCTCTGTTGCTGTGAAGAGACACCATGACAAGACATGACAAACTGTCCTTCACATCATAGAAAAGAGGGACGGACCCGGGGCTTACCCAGGCACCATGGCAGCTCCTATAAAAGAGCATTTAACTGGGCCTTGCTTACAGTTTTAGAGGATTAGTCCATGATCACCACAGAGGGAAGCAGACAGGCCTGGTGCTGGTGCAGAAGCTGAGAGCTTTGCATCCTGACCCAAGGCTGCAGGAAGAGAGAGAAACTAAGCCTGACAAGAGCTTTGGAAACCTCAAAGCCCACTCCCAGTGACACACCTCCTCCAATAAGGCCACACCTTCTAATCCTTCTCAGAACAGTTCTACTCCCTGGTAACTAAGCATTCAAATATATGAGGTTATGGGAACCATTCTTCTATAAACCACCACACCAAGGTTAGTAATTATTGGTATGTATGTGTCATAGAGTACATTATATCTTCTGATCATGTCAAAGTCTAATTTTATTCGTCAGTAAGACCATTCCTCAGTTGGTGGTACAGGTCATTGGTAGACTGCTTTGTGCTGAAGTCCTGGGTCCATCCCTCCTTTTTTTTTTTTTTTTTTTTTTTTTTTTTTTAGTTTTTCATAACAGAGTTTCTTTGTATAGCCCTGCCTGTCCAGGGAACTCACTCTGTAGACCAGGCTGGCCTCAGACTCACAGAGATCCACCTGTCTCTGCCTCCCGAGTGCTGGGATAAAAGGCGTGTGCCACCACCCTGACCCATCTCTCTTTTTTATAGTGGTCTAAGTTTGAAGGAAGATTTAGTATATGGTGGCCAAATTTTGCCTAATGCTAAATAACTCCTTTGCTTGTCTTTTATTAGTTTTGCAGAAGGGGCTGAAGGACAACTTTGCTGATGTCCAGGTTTCCGTGGTTGAGTGCCCAGATTTAACAAAGGAGCCATTTACCTTTCCTGTCAAAGGTGCGTAGTCTTAAAAAAAAAAATGGTTTCAATTTTCAGCCATACTCTTTTTCAGAAGCCAGTATTATTTTCCTCTATGAATAAAGGCTGTTGTTACAACTTTCAGGCTCAATTTGCCTTAGTTTCTGTGGGCCAGATTTCATTGTGTGTTCATAATCCTTGATGAATGTTTGGTTATGTAACATACTCAGTAGGCTAAAATTTGAGAGCACAAGAATTTTGTTTTTAACTTCCCAATTGACTTATGAAAATTTCTTTTGGGGGGCTGGAGAGATGGCTCAGAGGTTAAGAGCATTGGCTGATCTTCCGGGGGTCCTGAGTTCAATTCCCAGCAACCACATTCAATTCTCATCTGTAATGAGATCTGGTGTCCTCTTCTGGCAGGCAGGCATACATGCAAACAGAACACTGTATATATAAAAATCTTAACAAAACTTCCTTTAATTTTTGGTTGTATTATTTACTCAAGCTCAGAAAATCTCTTAAGAGGCCTATATTTGGGGGCTGGAGAGATGGCTCAGCAGTTAAAAGTGCCTTGCTCTTTCAGAGGACTCGTTTGGTTCCAGCACCCACATTAGGTGCTTCACAACTGCCTGTAACTCCAGCTCCAGAGGATCCAAGGCCCTCTTCTAGACTCCGAAGGAGTCTGCATTCCTGAGCATATATGCCCACACATACACACATCATACACATAATTTAAAATTAAATAAGCCTCTTTTTAGGGCTTATATTTGATTCATCTATTAAATGCTTAGACCTCTTCAAGAAATTTGTCAAGTTTGAAGTGAGAAGGGAAAGAAATGACCATTGGTTGAGTAAAACAGTCTCAGTGTGACAGACTGGAGCAGACGTGTCATGGCAGCAGTATTCCAAGGTAAGTGGAACATGAGAGAGGCTCAGTAAACTCAGGATTATCCTGATCAAGACCAAAGACAGGTGTGTTTCAAAGTCTAACTCCCTTCGATATGCCCTCTGGTAATGAGGGATTAAAAATTAGTGCATTTTCTGTTTCTTTTATTATGTTAATTGACATATTTGGTTAAAAAGTAATCTGCTTGGAATTCTTAGCCGCTAGTCCTGCCTCTCCCTCGTGTCTGTGAATCCCATTATCTGGACTAAGTCCCATAATTTACCACAGCCTTAGAGACATTAAATAGGAAAGTTCAGTTTCATGTTGTGGGAGTCGTCCAGGTCAAACAGTCTTTGATTGTAAATAGACCAGATGGCAGTCTCTCTCAACACCTGAAACCATTAGAAACCGTCTCAAAACGTTTACTTTATGTGTAGTAGTGCTTTGTCTGCAGGTACGAGTGTGCACCTTGTGCATGCCTGGTGCCTGTGGAGGCCAGAAGAGGACGTCAGATCCTCTGAGACTGCAGTTACAGACAGGAGATGGTGGTGGGTGCTGGGAACTGAACCCCGGTCTAGAAGAGTATCCATGCTCCTGACTGCTGAACCATCTCTCTAGCCCCAGTGAAACCTTGTGAACAAACAAACTAAAATCGCCCCTTTTTTCCTCTCCCTGTACTCACCTGTGGTTTCTGATTTCATTCTGAAGAGTAATTTGTTTCTCAGGCTGCCTTTCTCTGTCTAGCAGACTCTTTAGGACGCTCTTCCCAGGATCTTTCCCCCGCCTCCACCTCTTTTGTATAATCTTCGGGAGTTTTTCATATAATCTTGTCATTTTAACCAGGATCTAGCACCTTTGAAATCTGTCTCAACTAGCTCTCTAGGAGTTTTCAGTTGTGTGTAGCACGGCTCTGCCTATGGCTCGCTCCCTTCTGACCTGTTCCCGGGACAGCCGAGAGCCCCTGGGAGTCCCTCCTCCAGCCATCACCATCTCCATCACGCAGTGCACAATCGGTGGATACTTTCCGCTCCTCCTCAAACACAGAAGGCACCTGTAAGACTTTTCATCTCTCCTCTGTATAACAGTAGGGAGGTTACATGTGCTTCAGTGAATGACATCCTTGCAAGACTTCTCAAGTAAAAGATAATTTCTACTCTGCTTTAAAACAGTGCCTTCTCCCCAATTGTGTCTCACTTCATTGTTATAATAATTACTAAAAATGTAGATAGAGGGGCTGGCAAGGTGGTTCAACAGTGAAAGCCGTTGCTGTCAAACCTGATGAACCGAGTCTGATCCCCAGAATCCACGTGGTGGAGGGGGAGACTCCCACAAGTTGTTCTCTGACCTCCACCACCACACACACACAAAATAAATAAATAACGTAAGTAGAGGGGCTGGAGGGAGAGCTCAGTGGGTAACGACGCTGGCTGCTCCAGCCTGAGTTCAGATCCCAACACCCACATAAAAACCTGAAGTAGCCATGTGTACCATAACCCCAGCACTCTGGGGCAGATGCAGAAGGTTGCTGGAGATTGCTCCAAGTTCAGTGAAAGACCCTCAAGGAATATGGTAGAGAGTGATAGAGCAGGTCACCCAACATCCTTCTCTGGCTTCTACTTTTGACATACATGTGCAGTATGTGCACATAAACATATACTATACACACATACAACACGCTCAGATATATACACATGCAATCAATTAATAAATCAAATATATTTTAAAGTGTAAGTAGAGACCCTGGGGAGGAGACAGCTTAGTGGTAGGGTATGTTTTTAGCCCTGGGTTCAGTCCTTCACACAAAACAACAAAATACCTACACAACTACAGACATACACACATAGAAACTTCCTAGCATCCAAAGGTTTTCTATCATACTTGTTATTTGTATAAACAATGTATAAAAAGATTTCTCAGCATGGATCTAAAGAAGAAAATTCTAACCGAGCAAAATGTCTTAAAAATTTAAAAATACAACTTAGGCCAAAAGAAAGAATACATTTTTTTAAAATGAAAATGCCCTTGGCAGGGGAAGATTTCTAAGGGATTACTAGGCAGATGAATTCTAGAATCTCTGCCCACAAGTTAGCCCCTGTCCTCTCAATAACCACCAGTTGCCAAGCCATGCTCAGTGACGATGGCGGCAGCGGCAGTTGAAGCGGGACCAAGAAGGGACCACTTGCACCTTCCCATCCCTGTTAGTTCCAACCCTGGGATCCTCTTACATCTGTTCCTGATAAGTCAGTGGCTTCTGGAATCTTATACTTGAATGCTGTGTTTGCCTGCTTTTAAGATGGCTTGTGTTTTTTAGGCATCTGTGGGCAAACTAGAATTGCAGAAGTAGGAGGTGTGCCTTACTTAATGCCTCTTGTAAACAAAAAAAAAGTAAGTATGCTTTTATCCTTTGTATTTACAGACTATAGAAACTGGGTTGACTCCTGTTTGTCACTAAGACCACCGATGAGTGTGGCAGGCAGGCGAGGAAGCAGTTGACTGTTGTAAAATACAAATCAGGAAATTGTTATATTACAACTTCAGTGACGTTTTTCTTTTTATAGGTTTATGACCTAAATGAGATTGCAAAAGAAATAAAGCTGCCTGGAGCTTTTATCCTTGGAGCAGGCGCAGGTCCATTTCAGACGCTTGGGTTCAATTCTGAGGTCAGTGTGTGTATAGGAATCTGTTCATTTGACATCTGGTTATTCAATGGCCTGTCAAAATCGATTTTTATTCTTACATATATTAGGATCCCTCACTTCTCTGCAAATCCTTGTTGTCATATAAAAGCAGCTTTGGATTGAAAGAGAAATGATGGGGATATCTCCATGTTAAAAACCAAACATTAAGAAACTATCAGAGTGAACCAATGGCTATTTACAAAAGTTAATGGCTAGTACTAGTGTGTATCATGGGTACTCTATGTGGCGTGTTAATATGTGCCATTTATACTAAGTACAGTATTACTACATATGCCATATGATAGTAAGATACCACTGTTGATTTACATCTCATGGTGATGAGACCAGACTGCCACTCTCTTTTAACCTCACCAGATAGACCGAATGTTCAAAAATCACAGAACCTCTTGCAGAAGATATAATTTTCCCAGTGTTCAAGATAAAAAAAAAAAGTTAAAATCTATGATTAGACATTTTGAGCCATACATCATGACTCATGCTTGTAAGCCTAATATTTGAGAGGTTGAGTAGGATTACTATACATTTGAGGTCAGCCTGATCTACATAGGCAGCCAGGACCACAGAATATGACCCTATCTCAAAATGTAATTAATTAATTAACTAAGAAGATGTTTTGTCAGGTGTTGGGATAGACACAGTAGTATCAGAATTGAGGCAAGACGAGTGTATCTGAGTTTTTGAGTTCCATGCCACCTTAGGTCTCATAGCAAGTTACTAGGATACACAGCCAGAGTCGTCTCCAAAAAGAAATGTTGTAAACATTTTATAAAACTGAGGATAAGGGTAAGTGGCCACTCTCCCAGTTCAGTTCCCAGCCCCCACATGGCAGCTCACAACCGTCTGTAAATCCAGTTCCAGGGATCCAGTGCTGCCTTCTGGCCTCTGTTAGCACCATGTCTGCCACACATATGTGCAGGCAAAACACTTAGAGACATAAAATAAATGACTAAAAGAAAAATTCAAAAACCATTTTATAAGTCATGATCTTTGTGACAAGATCATGGCAGTAGGTAGTTCAAAGGACACACTTTTGGTTCGTCGTTTCGGAAGTTTGTGTTCCTCGCTGATTTTCCTGATTGCTTCAGCCCTTTGGGGAGAGAGAACACAGTGAGGAAGACATGGTGTAACAAAGCTTCTCACCTACTGCATCTGGGCAGCAGAGAGCAGGGAGAGGGGGAGCCAGTTCCTCTCCAACCATTGACGCCCACAGAGGGGTTAGTCTGTCCCTGAAGTGGCCCTGGGGAATGGTCATGTTTTTGGTGGATTACAGTTTGAAATAAGGGCAGGGAGTGGAGGCCAGTGGGAGAGCCCTGTCCTAGCATGAGCAAAGACCAACACCACAAAAGTATGGGGACATGTTGAGAAAGAGACCTGCGATAACGTTTCTTAAAGTCTGAGAGAAAACATTTTATTCATTAACACACTAAAATTGACTTTTTTATTTCTAGTTCATGCCAGTTGTTCAGACAGCAAGTGAACACAACCGTCCTGTGAATGGAAGTTACTTTGCCCGAATTAACCCTACAGATGGGAAGTGCCTACTGGAGAAATACAGCCAAAAATACCACGACTTTGGATGCGCACTGCTGGCTAATCTTTTTGCCAGTGAGGGCCAACCTGGCAAGGTGATTATGCCCATCACAACATGCATTCTTTATGTCTTCTCAGCTAAAAATTTGGGCTTTTATTGCCCCCAGTATAGTCTCCAAAGAAAACCAGATGTGCCAATGCCAAAGCTTTTATATAATTAAATAACATTATATTAATTAATTATTCAGAACAGTGCAGGGAAAGACAAAATCTTTTTTAAAACCAAAGTTAAGAATATTACTTAGGGCCGGGCGGTGGTGGCGCATGCCTTTAATCCCAGCACTCGGGAGGCAGAGGCAGGCAGGTCTTTGTGAGTTCTAGGTCAGCCTGGTCTACAGAGCGAGATCCAGGAAAGGCGCAAAGCTACACAGAGAAACCCTGTCTCAAAAAACCAAAAAAAAAAAAAAAGAATATTACTTAGTAAACAGGACACTTTTCTGAGTAGAAGATAACAAGATACTAATCTAGGGCGTTGTCATTGCATGAAACAATAGGATTGTGCCTACTTATGGGTAGTAAATAGGCACTTGTTTATTTCAGGATAACCTGAATTGTGCTGGAAGTGGTAGCTAAAACAAGAAAAGGAGAAGGAGAATGAGTGCCTGCTTCATCTCAGTATTAGCCTCTGTGAGGACTTAGGTCTTGAAAGAAGAGCCACTTCAGCTACTTGAGAAATGAAATAGAGATCTAAAAGTACCCAAGAACGTAGAGAGACCTCGTCCAGAATTTTATAGGAAGTGAGACCTTGTAAACATGTCGTGAGCCCCCATTACCAGAGATGAATCCCGTTAAGCCTGGTAATCCTCAAACTTTCCCCATCTTGGTCTCCAGAGTTCAGCGTAGGACTCAGTTCAAGGACTCATGAATAAGATTATTGGAGTCACACATAGCTGGTGTGTGTGTGTGTGTGTGTGTGTGTGTGTGTGTGTGTGTGTGTGTGTGTGATTTAATTAAGACAAGGACTGAGACACCCCAGCTCTGATCTGTGTGCTGAGCAGACAAGACTATTTCCCGGTGGCAGGAAGTTTTATAGAGGTACATTTCGGCCATTATCCACGTAGACTCTGACAGTTGGAGAGGTTCTGTGCACCATTTCACCCTCTGCAGGTCATCAAGGTGCAAGCCCAGAGAAGAACGGGACAGCTCAACTTTGTGACTTGCATGAGGCAGACTCTAGAAAAGCACTATGGAAACAAGCCTGTGGGGATGGGAGGCACCTTCGTTGTGCAGAAGGGGAAAGTCAAGGCCCACATCATGGTAAGGGCTCTGCGGCTGCCTGCATAGACACAGCAGCTTTTCATGTTCTGTGAGGAAGAGGAGGCAGAGTCTCGCTGGATACTTCTTCAGGCTAGTCTCAAACTTACTTATAGACTGCATTGACTTTGGATTAACAAGTCTTTGGCCTCAGCCTCCTAAGTGCTAGGATTACAGATATATACCATTCATGGTAAAAGTTTTTAATTTTCACATGGCCCAACAAACCATGATCAACCCCTGTGTCACAGGAAATTTCCCCTGTGGTTTTTTTGTTCATTTCTGTAAATTTTAGCTCTGACATTCTATTTTTGCTCCATTGAAGGTAGCTTATATATGGTGCAGAGATCACATAAGCTTCATCCCTCTGCATGTGTGTGTCCATTTTTCCCATTGACTGGTGCTTGACACTCTTGTTGAAAAATCACTCACCCAGGCAGGAGAAATGACTGAGTAGGTAAGAGCACTTGCTGCTCTTGCTGAGGACCTGGGTTCAATTTCCATCCCCCACATAGTGGCTCACAACCTTCATTAACTTCAGTTCCAGGGGATCTGATGCCCTCTTCAGGCTCCACGGGCACCAGGCATGCACATGGTGCACACACATACATGCCGGCAAAACATGAAAACACACAAAATTAAAATAAATACCATTTTTAAAAGGAAAGAAATCATTTACCTCCACTCCATGCAAGACCTTTGTTTCTGGCCTCTCTCCTCTGCTGCATTGGTCTACGTGTGTTCTGGTTAGTTTTTGTCAATTTGACATAGGTCTGTCACCTGAGAAGGGAGAACCTCAGCTGAGAAGTTGCCTCCATTCGATTGGCCTGTGAGCAAGTCTATGGGGGTATTTTCTCAATTAATGCTTGATATGAGAGGGCCCAGCTCCCTATGGGCAGGGTGGTGTAAAAGATAAGGCCTAGCAAGCCATGGAGAGCAAGCCAGTAAGCAGCACTCCTCCGTGGTCTGGAAGGAGGTGCCTGCCCCGACTTCCTTCATGATGGACTGGAAGCTGTAAGGTGAAATAACGCCTTTCTACCGAGGCCTTTGGTTGTGGTTTTATCACAGCAGTGGACAGGAGCAGGGAGAACATGCCTGGCTGTGCAGCTGTCCCCTATCAATTGCAGTAGCTAAGAAGTGAAAACTTCTCACTTCTTTTACAGATTTGTTTTTAAAATTTCACTGGTATTTCATAGAAAGTTTAGGTGGGTTTGTCCACTTAAAAAGAAAGAAAGAAATCATTAAGATGTAAATAGCAGCTTGGTATGGTGGTGCATGTCTTTAATCCAGGACTTGGGAACAGAGGCAGGTAGACCTCTGTGAGTGCCAGGCCAGCCAGAGATACATAGTGAGACCAGCATCTAAATAGAGATTACGTTGATTTTCTCTGCTTTGCCCTTTGCCATGCTGATGATCAAACCCAGGGCCTCACAGTCACTTTTCCACAGAGCCACATCCCTACAGTGATGAGTCTTGTTACTGGATGGGGGTGGGATTCTAGGGATAGAAGCCAAGGTCTTACACTCAGGAGGCAAGAACTGTAGTGCTAAGATGCCCTCAACACTGACCAAGTCCTCAGACAGTCTTCATGAGTACCGACATCTCGATCTCCAGTCATCTCTGCCTTCCCTAAACACAGCACATTTTTCCATCCTAACTTCGCTGTGTTTTTATTATTGTGTGTGGTGTATGTGTGAATGCAGGGGCACACATGTGGAGATCAGAGGACCATTTTCAGAAGTCTGTCCTCAGGCTGAGAGTTGCCTGCTCTGGAGGCCTGGAGATAAAGTTTAATGCCTAAATCCCACTTAGACAGACTCTGTGTAGTCCTCTGACCTCTATATTGGCACTGTGACACACATACCCATCATGCACACATACGTTAATAATCTTTTTTTTTTTTTTTTAATAGAAAGTTGGATTTTTTTCTTCCATTGTGCATTTGAGGGGTCAAATTCAGGTTGCAAGGACTTTGACCTGCTGAAGCAAATTGCTGGCCTCACTCTAATTTCTTCCAGCAATTTTTATAGTTTCCTATATATGTTCTCTCACCTCCTTTTTTAAGCTTATTGCAAAGTATTTTATTCTCTTTAATGCCTCTACCAACTTGCAGGGCCTTGTTTCTCTTTCCAACCACTTGCTATTCCTGGCAGCAGTTACGGGGTACAGATCAAACTTACAAGAACTGGGCCTGGGGCTCAGTGGAGAGGCTTTGACTAGCATGTGCAAGGCCCTGGGTTTGATCCCTAGCACTGGAGGAAACAGAAAGAATGGGGTAGAAGGGTTGGAAAGGGAAAGCCGAGTAGTTGGAAAGGGAAAGCCGAGTAGCTCTGTGATCGAGTGCTGCTGGTCTCAGTCCCCAGAACTGCAGCAGAAACATAGTTTGGAATGGGGAGGGCCTAGGGCCATGGCTCAGGGATATAGTACTTGTGTAAGTATTAACAGGTTCCCAGTTATCACAAAAAATAAAATTAAATTAAAATCACACATCAAATGGAAAACATATACAGCAGAGAGACTGAAGGTCTATGAAAAGTAAAAGCAGATAGTAATTGCCTCACTCCTTCCTTGACTTAGGAATTAGTTTTAGTTTGTACAAATTGATTGGCCAGCCTTAAAACTGGGGTATGTAATTAATGCCAAAACCATTCAGTGAGATGTATAAAATTTACAATGAGGTCATATTTTAAATGTTTTTAATTCTCATTTAATAGTCAGTGTGTTCTCCTGTTTAACAATTTTTATTTATTTATTTTTTTGCAGCCAGCAGAGTTTTCTTCCTGCCCGTTGACCTCAGATGAAGCTGTTAATAAGTGGTTACATTTCTATGAGATGAAGGCTCCTTTGGTTTGTCTGCCAGTCTTTGTCTCCAAAGACCCGGTGAGTCTTCATCTGCCTTTTATATCAGTGGTAATGCTTGGTGGCATACTCATTTTTAAAATAGTTACTTACTGTTTGGTGTGTGTATGCGTGTGCACACGCACTTGCACACCACATGCTGCAGCACATGTGTGGAGGTCAGAGAGCACCTTGTGAGAGTCACTTCTCTCCCACCATGTGAGTACACAGATCAGACTCAGCTTATCTGCCTGGGCAGCAAGCACTTGGCCAGCTGGACCATCTTGCCAGCCAAATATGGATTTTGTTATTTAAGCAGGAGGATAGCCTTGTGGATTTTTGTTTGTTTGTTTGATTGTTTTTTGGTTTGGGTTTTTGTTTTTGTTTTTTGTTTTTTTTTTTTGAGACAGGGTCTCTCTACACAGCCCTAGCCATCCTAGAACTCACTATGTAGACCAGACCACATGCCTCTGGTTCTCAAGTGCTGGGATTAAAGGCATGTGCCATCACACATGATTTCTTTTTTTAAATTTCTTGACCTCATACATCAATCCAGGCCACCACCAACTCCTTATGTAGGCAAGGATGACCTCCTGCCTACATCTGCCTTCTCCGTGCTGAAGTTACAGGCGTGCGTCACCATGCCCAGTTTATGGGAACTGTTCTGAAAGATGAGGGGATGCGTGCTTTCTCCACTCACTGAGTGTTAGGCCGAGCAGATTTTACCTTCAGTGAAGTAAAAGAACAGGCATTGTAAATTACACAGATGTTGTTCTATTAAATAATAAAAGAGCTGGGCGTGGTGGAACAGGCCTTTAATCCCAACACTCCCGAGGTTCTCTGTGAGGTCTGGACCAGTGAGACCCTGTCTCAAAAAAATAAATAAATAATAATAATAAAGATCCAAGATTTGGATCTCTTTCCATTGTGCTTAGAGTTCATCATAGTCTAATGCTACAGGCCAGAAGTAAGTGCTGTTGGCTAAATCAAAGAACGTGTCTGCCAAAATAGTGATGGGTAGGCCTTTGGAGCCAGTGACAGTATCTAAGATTTTATCTTTACAAGACTGTAAAATGATCAGTTAACAGATTACCAGTGACAACAGTTTGTAGTAGTAGAAATACTGTAAATGTGGCTGTTGACAGAGTCAGTCCCTGAGCAGAACGCCAGCCACATAGGTATCAAAGAAAGCCGAAGCATTTAAACTCTTTCCAGCTATATTGTAGTTTGTAAAGAAGGAAACTAAATGTTGTTACTTTTGTGTGTATGAATGCTTTGCCGACGCATGTGGTGTCGGTGGTGGCGCATGTGTGTCTGTGTACCATGTTGTCCATGGAGGCCATAAGAGGGTGTCAGATTCCCTGGAACTGGAGTTACAGATGGTTACAACTGCCACGTGGGTGCTGAGAATTGCACCTGGGTCCTCTGAAAGAGCAGCCAGTGCTCTTAACCGCTGAGCCATCTCCCCAGTCCCCTGTGGTGTTAATTTTTAAATAAGTAGTATGCAGAACAGTCACAGAAAGCTACAGTTTGGATAAAAATGTTAAGAGTCTTCCCAGAAGGACATACAGGAAGGTGCTCTTGTCTGCTGCCTTGAGGAAAGGAAGGGAAGAAAGAGGGAAGTTATATCTCCATGACTGTGCTGACTTACCCTCTTGCATCCTTGGCTTCTCTTATTATGTGACTCCATTGCTTCCTTAAACACTAGTCAGCTGGAAGATGGAACTCAGTGATAGAGCCCTTGCCTGGCATGCATGAGGCCCTGGATTTAAGCACCAGCACTACCAAACATTTAATTGCAGATTTAGTGATAGAGGCCTGTGATCTGTCTTTCGGGAGATATAGGTCGGAAGATTGAGAGTTCAAAGCTAGTCTCAGCCATGTAGTAAGTTCCTGTCTCAAAGAAACAAAAAGTAATGTTAAAAAACTTTTTAAAAGTAACAAAAGGTAGCAGGGCGGTCGTGGCGCACTCCTTTAATCCCAGCACTCGGGAGGCAGAGGCAGGCAGATCTCTGTGAGTTGGAGGCCAGCCTGGTTTACAGAGATCCAGAACAGGCACCAAAACTACACAGAGAAATCCTGGCGGGGGGAGCGGGGGGGGGGGGGGACGACGGGACGACAAAAAGCTTCTCCTTCCCCTTAAATACATTGTAATCAAAATAGTTTGAATCCATACTAACAGACTGTCCCGTTGTCCTAGGGGCTCGATTTGCGACTGGAGCACACTCATTTCTTCAGTCATCACGGAGAAGGCGGACATTACCACTATGATACTACCCCAGACACAGTGGAGTATCTTGGCTACTTCTCGCCTGCACAGTTCCTCTATCGCATTGATCAGCCCAAAGAGACCCATGCGTTTGGGAGAGATTAAAGCAGCTGACGCTTGCTTAGAAGAAGAAATGATTAGCTAAGGTTAAATCACTAACTCAGGAGCTGATACTAATTCAAAAATCCACTAGAGGGCCCTGAAGAGAGTGCTTCCATAGCAAGCAAACCCCCAGCTTAACCCCCAGCACAGAAGAAAAACAATAAATCACTATGTAAATGCTATTTTTATGGCATTTGAAATGCAAGAATATAGATACATGATACTCATATTATTTTGCATCTTTCATGTGAAGGAGATTATTGGGAACAAAGATACATAAGCATACCTCTTGCCTTCTCCTTAAACCTGAACCTTATGCCAAGGACCCCAACATGGATTTAGCAGGATGGTGGGGGGTTGGGAATCCAGAGACCTATTTGTTCCTCTTCCCAATGTGACTACATTCAAGAAATCTTATGCTTTTCAAAAAAATGACAAGTTACTGTGTGGTGGTGGTTAGTGTGTGGTGATGGTGATTGGAAAAATTCTTGCTGCTCTATATCATTAGCCAGAAATCAATTCTCCAACCTTGATAATGTCGACAAGGTGTGGGTCTAAGAACTCCTTAGAACTAAGCTACAAATAAGTGTTCTGATTCTCTATTTTGTAATGCACACGACTTGTGAGTATGAACCCCCAAATTATTCTTAAATAAACATGATTTTGTGGCAAAACTGAATAAAATTATGTTTAATATTGGTTTTAGTATCTTACCTACATAAAAGGAATATTACTATTCTTTTTAAAATGTGTATGTGTATGCTACCTGTGTGCATGTCCTCGTGTGTGAGTGCATGTCAGTGCATGTGCATATGGAGGCCAGAGGTCATGCCCAGTATCTTTCTCTCTACTTAAAAACAGGCTTGCTGATTGAGCGAGGCTAATGAGTCAGAGCAGTCCTATCTTCACCTACTGAGCACTGGGATTACAATGAGCTGCCACACCTACCTGGCTTTTTAATGTGGGTTCTGGGGATCCAAACTCGTCTTCATATTCAAGCAGCAAGGACTTTATCCACTTTATCTCTCCAGCCCAGTGTTTGTGTGTGTGTGTGTGTGTGTGAGTGTGTGTGTGTGTGTGTGTGTGTGTGTGTGTATGTATGTATTTTGGTTTTTTGAGACAAGGTTTCTCTGTGACAGGATAGCCCTGGCTGTCCTGGATCTCACTCTGTAGACCAGACTGGCCTTGAACTCACAGATATCCCCCTGCCTCTGCCTCCCAAGAGCTGGGATTAAAGGCGTGCGCCGCCTTTAATCAGTATTCTTTCATTTCTCTTCCCCGCCCTCTGGAGCTGAGTGAGGTGTTGATGCCCCATTGTAGCACAATGCCAGTGTAAGCATACACTAAATATTTCTTGGCTGGGTGGATGATTATGCACGACATGTCGCTAGATTCTGGGATATGTTTAGTTGGAAAAACCAAATAAAAGATTATGTGATTAATACATGATATTAACATGTGAAGAGAAATATAGCAGGGTGGATGTAAGAGAATTCTCTTTCCTCATGGGGTCCCATGCTGAGAGGGTGGATTCACTTTCCTAATTTAGTTCAGATATCAAGACTAATGAAATCACACACCAACGAGGTATTAATCCTGATGTAATGAAGGTTTCTGGACAGATTAGGACAGCTACTAGGCCTGTCTGAAAAAAAAAAATGGCCTCACAGAACAGGGAAAGATTGGCTTTAATGGTTCCTGCATGAGTTTTGAATTTCCCACAGGTATCAAAGGAGCATCTGGGGGCTCTTGATTTGTCAAATTGTAGGGTAGAAGGGAAAGTGGAGACAGTACAATTTAAAGGCATGCCATTTAATTTAATAAGACAAGCCATGGCAACTCTTACATAGGAAAATAATCGGGGTCTGGTTTACAGTTCAGAGGTTTAATCTATTATCATCATGGCTGGAAACATGGCAGAGTATATGTGGATGTAGTTGGTGCTGGAGAGGGGCTGAGAGTTCTACATCTGGATCCTTAGGCAGCAGGAAGGGAGAGTGAGCCACTGGGCCTGGCTTGAGCTTCTGAAACCTCAAAGTCCACTCTCTGTGACACACTTCAACAAGGCCACATCTCCAGACATGCCACTCCCTGTAAGTGTATGGGGCCATTTTCATTCAAACCACCACAGCGGTCAAGCATCAAAAGTAGAATTGGGAGCTGGAAAGATGTCTCAGAAGCGCTTGCTGCTCTTCCAGAGGGCCTGAGTTCATTCCCTACCACCCACGTGAGGCAGCTCACAACTGACTCCAGCTCCAGGGATTCCAGTGCCATCTTCGACCTTCATGAACACCTGCACATGCATCCAGGGGTGGACACACACACACACACCTTTGCTGGGACTGGACTGCCACAGAGTTAAATTGAACCAGGAAGAACTGATACTTGTCATTGTACAGCTGGCCGAGCGCTCTCTGCTTTACCTGGAAATCCAGGGTAGGTAGGCTTGTTAAATGTTGGTCTCCAGCAGCTTTCAACTCCCTCAGTGTGACAGTAGTAAGTGGTGGCAGTTGGTGGGAGAGGGCATTGTCAAATGGCACTCTCTAATGCTTCCACTTTCCCTTTTCTTTATGCCCTGACCACTGTAGGAACTTTTCAGTGTTTACCTTTAGTTAAATAGTTGCTGGCTTTTAAGCCACAGTTGTCTGAATCAGCAACTTCAACTCCGCAGCTACCAGCAACAGTTATGCCGCCAGGGCTGTAGCCGGAGGGGATTCTGTTCCCTGTGGCTCCAATTCCGGCAAAGCTTCAAAGGGAACCTAACTAAACCTCTCTCCCTCTAAAGAACTCAAGATTCAAAGGTTAAGGTGGAATTCTGCTCTGCAGAGGCTGCTGAATAGCAGGTAGCTCCCCTCCTCTCTTTGCTCTCCTCCTCCAAAAAGCCCTCCTGCTTTTCCTTGTCCCTCCTTAAAAACCCTTTCTCACCTGGCTCCTCCCTAAGACTTCCTGTCAGCTAGTTGCTGACTCAGCCTCCTAACCACAGGTGAACTTTATTTAATCAAATCTTTGCATCATTAAGCTAATGTTCCAGAGCATGAACAAAAGTAACATACCTTGAAATAACATTCGACAACATTTCAGCATCTTCAGCTATCAGTGCCATGGTCACAACTACTTGGGATGTGCTAGAACCGTGTTTGAGAGCCAGGGCACCTGAAGGGCTGTTCATACTCTGGACACTGGGCCCAACAAGGATCACTCAGGCAGCATCTCCTCTAGCAGATGGACTCTCCAAGGCTTTAGGGACTGCACCAGCACCACCAGGGGCACTCTTGCCTGTGGGCATTGTCAGGAGTAAGTCAGAGGCAAGCCACAAGAAAATATTACAGAGATTCAGCTGTGTATTAAAGCTATACTTTGACCGGCCAAGGGTCTGTCAAAAGGCAAGCCATTTATTATGAATATTTGGTGCTATCCAGCTTTTAGTATTTCAGCTGTCTGTGAAATTCTGTGTGCCCAAATATTTTCCTGACCATTTGGCTAACATTTCAGCTCCCCAAACCTGCTGAACTTCTAGGTTACTTACTCCCCCACCCAGACATGTAGCTTTGCTTCTTGTACAAATGAGGCTCAGACCATCTTCCTGCCTCGAGGCCTAGTGGCTCTCCAGAGCAACTGACTGAGAACAGAAGAGGTTTTTACATATCAAAGTAGAAGGTAGAACAACATTCCTGAGAAGGCAGAGAACCTGGAGGCCAGGCAAAGAAAGGACAGGCATTTTCTGCAGAGCAGACAGAACAGTGTGACCAGAGAGAAGAAAGGAAGACAGAGGTTTTGTAGACAGTAAGACAGAACTCTTGTAGAGTCCATCCGTGCCAGGAGGAGAGAGTAGTAGAAATGAAGAACGAGGAAACAGAGGACGAAGATGAGGCTGGAAGCATAAGAGCTTAGACGTTAGCAGGACTATGAGAGGAACCCAGAAGGAATTGAAGCTATGTAGACAGGATTTCACCCCAGAGAAATAGAGTAGACAGATAAAGAGCTTGGTGCATCTAGGTTTATTCTTGTCCTGAATGCCTGATGGAACTGTAGCTGTATTGATAGAATTTTGTCTTAGAGGAATAAAGTTAACAGACATAAGAACATAGTGTATGTAGATTTTTTTCCCTCAGATATCCCACACCGGATGTAGCAAAATCCCCAGGAACCCTGGGTAATCAATACTTTTGCAGACTACAGCTTCCTCAGCTGTCAGTCAGCTGTGCTGAAGCCTCCATCCACACTTAGTCTTGGGAAGCAAGGGCCTGAGAACTTACAAAAGATTATTAGACAAGGCAAGGTTGTTCAGGAGACCAGCATCAGATTCAAGATGGTATCAAAAGCCAGCCTGGTCTACAGAGTGAGTTCCAGGACAACCAGGGCTACACAGAGAAACCCTGTCTCAAAAAACCAACCAGCCAACAAAATAACAACAATGAAAACACTGGACAGAAGTAGGGGAGTTAGTACCTGCCAAGCTGTGGGCCACAGTTGCCAACCTGCTAATGTTCCTTGCTTTTTCCAGTATGGCCTACATTACTGAAGGTAAGCACGGAAAGGCCATTCAATAAAAGGCATTGCTGGCTGACATCACAACACCATGAGAGGCAGACAGGAAGGTGCCTCTTGACAGATTATCTGAAGAGTAGCCTGCTTATACAATCCAAGAAGGGATATTTGGGCCAATAACAGCCGTTTGTTTCACTAATGATGTGGTGTGTGTGTGTCCGTGTCCAAAGTCCGGATCCCCAAAAGACCACCAAGAAGACCAAATCTGATAGAAAAATCAAAGAGTCTTTAATTCGAGTTAACTCAGGCCTCTGCCAGAGAGACGTCAGGTAGCACAGGTTGAGGGTTTTTATAGTGGCTAGACAAGGGGGATTGGGGGATTCCAAGACTGCCTAGTTGCAGACCTGGAACTGGATCAAGCCCTGGTTAGGGGTATTTGGACTGAGCTGACTGGCTCTCTTGGTCTAGGGAATTCTAACATTTTAGTCTCCACAGAGGAACACCTAGAGCTGCTTGTCTGCTTCTGATTGGCCCTTCCCTGGAGAGGTGGGGGTGGGGGGGAAGGTGTTCCAGTTCTCTCTGTAACTAGGGCAAAGGTCAGGGGCAGTTGGGAGTGTGTGTGTAGGGGGGAGGCATCCTGTTCAGGCCTTTTTGCTGTGGCTGTACTTCTGCTAAGGCCTGGGGTGTGTGAGGTGGCTGCAGAGACAGCACAACCACCCTCCATTTTGTCATTAATCCACCTGCCACAGTGGTCCCTCCACCAGGGTAAGTGCGCCCTCTCTGGCCAAGTGAAAATGATTAATTCAGGTATGTAACTGCACAAAGTCCTGGCCCAGGTTGTGAGGACAGGGCCAAGACAATCAGTTGCAATCTTTTGTGTAGGTCTATCTAGGTGTCCTTGGGGTGTTAAGACAGATGGTGCAGCCTGGAGGGTAAATCTTGCTAACTGTTTGACTCAGTCCTTTTGCTGGAGGCAGCTCCATCAACAAGAGGGAGTCCAATGGCTGCTCATTAAGAGTTAAATTCCCATCTACAGTGTTTTTGTGACTGCTGACATAAAGCACTTACTTGTAATGGTGCATACATCTTCACCGTCAACCTCCCTGAATGTAAAATCACCTAGAGGAGACACCTCTGGGTGTGTCTGTAAGGCTGTTCCCTGAGAAGTTTAACTGGGAAGTGAAAACCTACCCGGAAGATGGGTGGACGCG